TGGCAGCTTCAGATTTACTATGCATCTGCTGGAAAACGTTTTTGTGGACTTGGCGGTCACGCGCGTATCGTTGACTGAGCTCACCTCCGTTCTCGGCCCCGCGTCTCGGCCTTCGATGCGTTCACAAGACTTGTCGCTCGACGACGGTTCTGAACACTGGCCAGAGTCTGGGGAGACGGGCGTGGTGAGATCCGTGTGGGGAGCGTCCGGTGGGGGGGCGTGTGTGGTGTGTGGGGTGGGGGGAGGGGCGGGTGTGTGAGGGGGTTTACTTCCCCAGTCAGGTACATGCAACTGTGCAGGAGCGTCTCGACCGTGAACTGTCAACACGATACGACACCCTCCCACAGTGACGTACTTGGGCAGCTTCACGTGTTTCTTGAGTTTCATCCGCACAAACCGCTCTCCAGTGTCGACACCTTTGTAAAAGCGACGCTCGAGTTCCCCTATTATGGTGCCAAATGCCGACAGCAGAATGACCAGCGTGGCGTCGGCGATGTAGTGAGGGACGCCCGTCAGCGCCAGCACAATGGACTCGCGCGTGATATCGATGAGTGGCACTTTGCCGCCGCGGATGGTGAGGCCCGTCGTGAGGAGATGCTGCAGGGCGTCGCGACGGCCCAGACTGATGTAGGCGGCCCGGCCCACCACACGGACGCCGCGGATGGACACCAAGGCCAACTCGGCCTGCTGCTCCAGCTCGTCTATGATCTCTTGGGTGGTGATGTCCCACAGCTGGGGCATCTCCGCCACGGACACCATCACGGTGTTGGGCTCGATGCTGTTGAGGCGCACGAGGGAAGCCCGCGGGGAGTACACAGACACGAGAGGAAGCCCGGCATCTAGCGACGAGGAAGTGCCGATGTTGGAGACGCTGCTGGAGGCGTAGAGCGGGCCCGCGGGGCTGCTGGGGGAGCGTGTCACGTTGGCAGCAGCGTTGAGGCCTGCTCCGAGCGACTGGCTTCGCCCGCCGTCTAGCTGTCCGGAGAAGAAGTAGGAAGAGCGAGTGTAGGTGACGGTGGTGGTGTGGGCGACTTCTGGCCCCTCGCTCAGCGGAACGGCAGTCGCCGCTCCTCCGCCGTCCTTGCACAGGGACAGTTGCTTCACTTCCTTCACCAACGCCCCCGCAGTGCTGCCCGTTTTCAGCTTCTCGATGACGGTGGCTGAGCGGCGTCTGACGGTGGAGTATCCCGGGTCGGAAGTCGACTCGTCACGCGAGGGCGACGACGATCGCTCCTCGTCCTGCGGCAGCGCCATGGCCATCGGTTCCTCCGTCAGGTGCTTTCGGCGGTCGTAGTGAAACGAGGAAGCGAAGTCAAGGAGCTGATCGAGGTTGAAGTGCTCTGTCTGCGACAAGTACGTGTCCGTGGATATCGTCGGCAGAGGCTCCCCGGAAGACGGCGTGACTCCCTCCCCGACACTGACGTACGCAGGTGGTTCCCCGGGCACACACACCCGCACCGACCCCGACTGGCCCAGCCCGTCTACTGGGGCGGCACACGAGCCACCGCCGGGGCCGCACTGGGCCGAGCTGCAGCCCCCCGCTATCCCAGTGTCCATAGTGGCTGCTTGCCGCATTGTGTATTCTACGCTACGCATCTTCCCACTGTACACTTTCTGCAGATTTTCTAAATTGTCCGTTTCAACATTTCCCTCTTCGTCATTATCTTCGCTATTTCCTTCACAAATCTTAGATCGACGTAACCTGTGTTCCAGCTCGTCCTCCTCGTCTTCCTCGTCGTCTTCCCCGTCATCGTCACTTCCGCCGTCCATGTTTTTAACAAAGTTCTCGAGCTTATCGTACTCGTCGCGGAGCGTCCACACCTGCTGCTTCAACGTTTCGTTCTCCTTCTTCAGCTTGCGCAAGTCTGACTGGCCGCGATCCACCTCGGCGTTAATCTCTATCGTGCGCAGACGCAGTTCTTCATTTTCAAACATAACACCGCGGCTGGACCGCTTGTCGAGCTTGCGAGAAGGCTTAAGGTTGCCTTCCTTTTTCTTCGATCGCATCATGTTAGTGGGTGCGCGACTGGCGGATATGAGGTAGCGCGCGCTCACCTGCACCACCCGGAGGCACCCTCGCACATAGCGCCCCGAGGCGCGCCCCCCGGCGTTAGGGGGGTCGCGCGCCCCCCGCCGTGACGTTCCCAATCCTAGTCACTTGGATCCAGCGGTGTTTCTGCCGGAAGCCGAGGACGAGGACGAGGTGCCGCCGCCCCCGCCCGCCCGCGGAGACGACCGCATCCTCAAAGGTCGGGAGGGGCGGCGCTAACACTGTGCAGGATGCCGCAGCAGCAGGGGGCAGGCGAGGTCGCGCACCACCTGCCGCACACCATCACGGCACCATCATTTCTTCAACAAAGGCGCCAAGATGCCACTTGGTTTGCAACCCTCGCGCCCTTCCTTCACATGCGGCTCGTGAGGCAGACACCTCAGGCCTGAAAGGTAGTTGTCATTATAGGTGAGGAATACGAATGAAAAGTCACGAGAAAAAAAAACTAAT